GGTGGAACTGGAGAATTTGGACGGGCCACATCTCTCACGATGGCCAACCTGACTCTGGGAGAACTGGTTGTTAAATTATTTTAATCCCACCACTGCACAACACCCTATACCAGCATTTCCCAACCTTTCCAAGCTAGCAGCCTAATGGGGAGAGGAGGAGGGCAACGGGATGGTTTTGTGCGAGGGGCAGGAGTTTATGAGTTTGTGCCTGCCGCTCTCATACACCCGCCACTCACACAACTGGGGCTGCAAGCGCTGGCACCTGTCACTCATGTGAATTGGGCTGTGCGTGGGCTCTGGTGGCTCATGCAGCCCAGTTGCGATTAGGCCACAGCCCAATAGTGGGCTTAGGACCCCAAGTTGAGAAATTCCTGCCGTGTACCACTTCAGACAAATGGTTGTATAATCTCTTCTTGAAAACTCCAGTGATAGTTTCTAGAGGGAAGCTATATGTACGTATGTCTGTGTGAAATCTTGGCACCTATCTGATTGTGATTTTAGGTTGCAACTCTCAAGAAATCTATAAGAAGGTTTATGAGCAAAAAGTGCAGGAGCCTTTAGGAGAAGACTGTCCATCCTATTTACGGACAATCATCAACCAGTGTCGGAGTTATAACCCTTGCAAGCGCCCAACTACTGAAGGTATGAGAAAGCAGCAGGCATTTGGATGCATCGTTAGGGCCACAACTTTCACTAAGCCATAATTTGCTTTTAGCTATGGTTTGATGCATAACCTATAGCTACTTTTGTATATAACGCAACACTAAATGGTGCACCAATATTGGTGCATTCAGGGAGCAATGAATCTAGATATAAGTGTGCTCACACTTCCTTATCTCACCAGCTGTCAACCATTCCAACCTGGTCAGTTTAGGAAAGAAAGACTCCTGGCCCATGATTAGCCAAAAATATACTTTACCAAAGCCAAAGTAGTTACAGAAGAGGCAAAACTGGACCTGAGATTTTCAGGCGCAAATGACACAGTTAACTTTCCCTTATTCCTGGTCAAACTCCTGGTTATCAGTCAATGTCCAAACAGGTGTTAATAGATTGTTTGGGAAATATTCCTTGTCTTCCCCCATTCATGGCTCCGTATTTCTTTAGTGTGACCTTGAGATGGCAGGTGGTCCTCACGGGACGGGAAGGCTTAGTTTCGATTCATCTGGGTTCTGAATCCCTTCATGAGCCTCGGTGGCGCAGTGGTTAAGAGTGCAATATTGCAGGCTACTTCTGTTGCCTGCCGGCTGCCTGCAATTTGGCAGTTCAAATCCCACCAGGCTCCAGGTTGACTCAGCCTTCCGTCCTTCCGAGGTGGGTAAAACGAGGACCCAGAGTGTTGGGGGCAAGAGGCTGACTTTGTAAACCACTTAGAGAGGGCAGTAAAAGCACTGTGAAGCAGTATACAAGTCTAAATGCTATTGCTATTACTGTCCCTTCCCATGCTGTTCCCCCATTACTGATGTCAGGCTGTCAGCTTGAGATGCGTAGCTTAGTACCAGCAAAGGTGGAACTGATACTCATTTATTAATCAGACAAATGCTACTGGGTATCAAAGGCTGAGCTACAAAACTGAGGTGGGAAGGTTTCTGAAAACTGATTTTTTTCCCCTTCTTCACAGAGATTGTGAACCAGCTCCTCATTGACCAGGATGACAACGGTAGCAACTTGACTTCTTGAGTGAAAAATCAGTGATCGTGGAAGATATGTTGTCACCTGAACCTTCTCTCTTTTTTCTCCACGTTTCAATATTGTTATTCTTCAGGGATAGTCTCGTTGCCATGAAGTTTGAGAATCATTTTTGAACAATGGACCCAGAACTTAATTTTAATTGGTTTTTAATTGATTAATTTTAGTCTCTCTGCCTCTATAGACTGACTTTGTTTAAAAGACATTACGGAAAGGAATGCCTTTTACTGGACAAGACTGAGACGGATCTGAAAGTTGATTTTAAAATGACAGGTTACAAGAAAGATAAGGAAAAAGATGTTTCACAGGACATACAAAAGGAACACGTTCATGTCTTAAAAATAAAAAGGGAAATTCATTCTATTGCCCTGGTATATGCACCATGGCACAATCCACCTGCTATAAAATAACAGTTCCTTTATTGTTACCCATTGCTCTCTAATGTCTTGTCTTATAATGCCCTAAAAATGACAATAAAGGTTATTTATCGATCTAATGATTCAACGTTGCTGTTTGAAACTGGCAATTTTCTTTCCTGTGGATTTCTATTTCCACTGGTTATTTGTTTTTTAAATTCTAGTCGTGTGTTTCACGCCCAACGGAATTGCACGCGCCCCACCCGCAAACGCAACTCTCGCATCAGGCTGAAAAAAAACCCGCTTTTTTTAAAAAACCTTGACAGCCGGCCTATAAACGCGCAGGCGCATCTTCCAAGCCTCCTTTCCTTTCCCCTCCCTCCCGGTTCACCCAAAAGAGTGACAGTCGGGGAGGTCCAATGGAGCGCCTGGGTGTTCAGGATCCCGTCCAATAGAAATCAAATCCTGCCTTCGCGCGCCTCCCGGGCGACCAATGAGGGAGCCCCCCTGGGCAGGAGGCGGGGAGATTGAGCGGCTGCCCGGCGCGCGCGCCGCCTGGCCGCTGTGAGGGAGCGCGATGGCGGCGCAGGAGGCGATGGAGGTGGATCTCCCGCCCGTGGCCGAGGCCGGCGAGCGGGAGCCGCCCGCAGCGCCCGGTCGCGAGGAAGCCTCGGGGCGCCGTCCGACGGGTGCCCGCTCCTCACGGGACTCTCTGGTGGCGGAGTCGCGGAGGCCGCGCCGCTCCCGGAGGAACCTGGCTGGCGCCCCTCGGCCGGCGTCTTCCTCCGCCTCGTCGTCGTCCTCCCAACGGGCAGCCCGGGCCAGGTGAGCTACCGCCTCCCCTGCTTTCCCCGCCCTTCAGATCCTCGGCGGGCTAGCCGGGGCTACGGAGACGCTCCCCGGAGGAAGCGGCAGGCCGAGCCCCGCGGAGG